ACAATAAACATTATTTTACAAATTATCCTATGTCATTATGATCGTAGTCAGTACAGCTTTTCTGTAATTTTGAAATTACGTTTACTGTGTAGAATATTTTTATATTACGCACCAACAAAACTTAAAAATATATTAAATTTAATATAAGTTACAGAAAATTTGCATAAGATAAATAAAAATTTTAAAGATCAACAAAATCTTACAAATTATTTATTTTAAATTAATTTATTATGTAATACAAATAACAATAAAAACTTATGAATTGTTTTTTATATTTTATTGTTAGTGTTTGATCATCGATAGTATTATAAATTCATACCAGCAGTAGTGTTATTATCTTATATGCACTAGTTTACGCTGAAGTTTACTAGAAATGTAGTACTGCATGTATATTACCATCGAAAAATAGTTATTGTAAACTAATGTACCTAAACATTTCATAATAACGATATTAAGAAAAGTAATAAATAAACGGGGTTGCGTTCATTTAAAAATTTAACTAATAATCTATTAAAATATAATTTAATTGTATTTTAATAAAATTGTTTCAACTTTTATGTTAAAATGCTTGTACACAAAAGTATAAAAAACAACCATAAAGCGGTATCATAAATTGAACACATAGATATTGTGTAAAATTTAATCGATGGTGAATTCGATCCATTTAACGTAATGTAACCAATAGGTCTTTGGCATTTTTTTTTCTGATAATGATGGCTATATTTTTAATTAAAATTGTATTCATAATTTTTGACATAAAGAAAATGTAATAAATAATAGGTAGGTATACCATGTACTACCTTGCAGAAGTATTAATCCTTTGCATCGTTTGTTTTGATATATTTAATTTAATCTCCACGGGTCACGGCCCACAAATTATTTATAATATAGTAATAATGAGTTAAGTGCAAAATAAAATATTTGTCTATCGTATGTTGTTATAATACCAAACATGATATAGATTAAATTAATATAAAAAAGCTAAATAAAATTACTTGTAAACGGTTAATAAGGTTTATTGAAAAAGTTTTGTTCGTTTCGAATGTCGATAAACATTAATATAAATTCGTTTAGGAAGAATTACGTTGAACTTAAAGTTAAAGTTAAGTTCTTGCTCTCTGAACTTGTTTCGACATTTCATGAAAATGTAAAAAAGAAGAATAAACATAATTGTACCTATAATATTGGATTATTTGTTTGCTGTTGAAAAATATTGAATGATTTTTAAAATATTGACTTTGTTGTTTTATTAAATCTATAGTAAAATTTTTGGAACAAGCCGAAAGAATATAAAATATAAATTTTTAAAGCTATTAAATAAAAAAAAAAAAAAAAAATATAAATTTATTTTTGCAATTTGGAAGTCAGATTATTTTAATTTAGAGTAAAATGTATTTAATTTATTGATGTAAAGTTGGTAATTTATCGATTAAAATAAAAATATATATAAATATTAGTATTCAATGAGATAAAGTTGATAATACAAGATTATATTATTATTTATCTATAAAGGTGTTTATCCGCTTTTCACATTATAAAACTATCACACTTATCATATGGTCATCAAGTGCCAACTAGAATTTCGTATTTCGATATTGAGACTATGTTACAACGATTAAATATTATTATAGAATCGAATGTTTTTCAAAGATTCAGTTTAAATGTAAACTTAAATTTAAGGGAAATGTGGAGATCATAACGTACACGATCAAACCTTAATCAAATGTCAATTAGATTTTATCATAAGGTTTAGATTTAGATTTAATTCAAAATTCAAACCCTCACAAGAAAAAAAAGTAAAAAAGAGTTAGTTTTTTCTACTTGAGGGGATACGAATAAACGGCATCTAACTGTTTCAACAAGGTAGAAAATCAGTAAACGATGACACGACTGCTAGACGTGATTTGTTAACGTACGTTTTCAGCGTTATTTTAATATCTTTTAATATCATTGGCGTGGTAGGTAAAATGACGTTCAGAATTTTCTCATCAGGGATTTGATAAGCGGTGAAGGTTACAGAGAAAGACGTATTAGACCTAACTTCCTGATAGGTATACAAGTAGTAAAATGTTATATACTTGCGTTTTATTGCATCTAACATCTCATAGATGAAGTCAGTTTTCATCTTCAAAGAGTACAAATATTTCTGGAAATATTAACCTTTTACATATAAAAAATAAAAATCATTTAATAAAAGAACTTTTATTTTGTTTAGGGGTGCCACTGCATAATCTGCACACCCTCTGGCTTTGCTTAGGCAGGAACATAAACTGGCTTGAACAAGAGTTGAATTGTTGGCGAAATGTGTTATAAAGTTACAGCTAACCTAATAAATGCATAGTAAATACATTTAACACTTATTTTGTGTACGTTAATAATTTAATGCGTGGCCTCTGAGAAGAGAGATTAGAGGTAAAGGTTTCCATAAGCACTTTTTGTTGAAATTATATTTGAACGCATTATATGTAATGTCCCGAAAACAAGAAAAACCAACAGAACGTGATTCACACAATGCATATACCACTGAAAACATTAATTGTTCTCCCGATGGATTGAGCTGATAATATTATGTGCATCACTCTTTTGAACACAAACTATGTATAGTACGAAAACACTGTTAAACTTTTGAGATTATTAAAATAAAATAGTATATTAAACAAACAGTACAAACTAAAAACGTGATTCCAATCCAGCTTTTAAAATATTATTGAATCATAATAAAACTATAAAATCTAAAACTAGATTCCTCCTTGAGATACACGGGATCTAAAATTGAAGAATTAAAGATTTAACTGGCACCGAGTTTGTATCCGTGTATTGTAACACAATTAGTTTCCTAGTTTTTTGTTAATTTACAGTGGATCAACTAACATGAGTTATCATTTTTTAGTTTATTTTTAAATGTAAAATTATCATTAATAGTAAAGTGTGTTTCTCTAATGCCGGCTTTTATGTTATAAATGAACTGTTCATTAGGTGATTCACCTTCAAGTTTCTTCCATTATTAAAAATTCTCAATATTAATCAAAATAATCGGGAAAACATATAAAATATTAAAAAAAATACAAGAATTTTTAAGCAAAACAATTGTTGATAAAATTGTTTTTTTTTTTTTTTTTTTTTTTTTTTAGTGTAAATCAAAAAGAATTCTTCGTTAAATGTATAAAAAATTACATCAAATATTTATTTTAGTATCTTCTATAAATGATAAAATTTAAAAATATTTTGACATTTTTTGTATTAAGATCTTAATTTTTTTTTTTGTTTATTTCCATAAATTTCAGTTAAGTCGGTAAAAATCTTTGAAAATGTATTGCAATGTTTTTTATAATGTTATTCTTATATTAAAAAAAAAAAAAAACAATTAAGTTTAATTTCACAAATATTTTTTATGATCGACTAAAGTTTAATTTTAATTCCGCTTAATATTTTATTCTTCTTTTCAATTCCATATGGTTGCGGTAATTAATGATATTTTTTGGTTCATTGTTTATTTTATTTTTCATTATATTTCTATAATTATTATTTTAATGTACATTCCCTTGGATTAATAACATTATAATACGTATGCACTGAATTATTGGTCTTTTATTTTTAATTTATATCTTCGTATTGTTTTGTAATAACTTCTTTTTTTGGTGATTTATTTTTCTTTTTATTTACTTCAGTTGATTACTGTCCTAATATTATCTTAATGTCTTGGTTCCACAGTGATATTCTTTTGTCTTGATTTATCACTGTTATAATCAGTCGTTTTATTTTTTTCTTAGGCATTTTAGAAAAATAATGTTTTTGTGACTTAGGTTAAACTGGTCTATAGGGTTTTGTTTTTAGTATCTTTTGAGACTTAAATAGTTGTCAGAAAATTAATGAGAATATCAAAAAAATAATTCTACTATTAGTGATCCAGCTAACTTATATAAAAAAAAAATACTCTATACAGTTGTTTATTAGCTTACAATAGTTGTCTGTATTGTATGATGAACACATTAAAGGTTTGAATCTTGGTTAAATTTATATTGATTTCATAAGTTTATTATTTTTTCATTCATATCAATACCACATGTACTTACTACGTAGGTGGGCCTAGAACCTAATTATTTGACTTTTGAGAATTCAATCTGTCATCAAATAGAATCACTTAAAAATATTTTATGCAGGTTATTAAAACACTTTATGACCAGGAGAAACATATATTATTTGCTGTATATAATAATTTGATTATAATATCAATAATAATAGCTACAAAAGGATATAGCTATAATAATTATTTACTTAGTACTTAATAATATAATATATATGTAATATGTATACATTGTTATATCATATATTTAATGTTATTTTTCACTCATTAAAAAAGGAGTAAATTATTTTGCGTTTAAAAATTCCAAAAAATTAGGATCATCCATTTAAATATGAAAATTTATTATAACATTTTGTGTAATTTTTATTTATAAATCTATAAAAAATATTAATTGATATTATAGTTGCATAAATGTGTTTTACGATTATCTAAAGTTTAAATTTCTACCAGGTAGTATTTGACGTGTAAAATTACGATTATATTTTTATCAATTATATGAATTATAAAACAGTGACATTATCAAATATTAAACGAATAGTTAATGTATATAATAGTTTATATTAGATAAGTTAAGTGTTATTCATGTATTAAAATTATATTCTATTTTAAAATAAGAAATTAAATATATGTATAATCGCTTAAAATAGATAAAAAATACGGAAGTTTGTAAAAATTCAAAAACGTAATTTAGTAATTTAATATTATATGCACAGACACAAAAAATCATATTTTATTTAAATTTTAAATTATTAAAAATATACTAACTAAAACAATTAACATTTTTAACGGTTCGAATTATAATATATCATCAAATAGAAATATATAAGTATGTTAAGATAATATAATATAATATTTATGCACGGTAATTAAATTCTTAAAACTGTTGTAATAAAAATTACATTTTGTTATTTTCTAGATGTTGATGGATTAATTAAGATCTCGATGGTGTGTGATGACAGGTTAGTCATCAGTTCGTAGACTATAATGCAGGGTATACGTTGGTTGACGGCTATCTGCCACTGACGAGAAAAGTCTTGACGCAATTATGGGTGTGTTGATATGGGTATTGGTGAGCACAGTGATTTTGGCCGAGTGCGCGGCGTCCTCAGTACAATCCTCAAACCGTACGGTGCGGTTTGCAGTTATAGCACCATTGAAAGCATCCAAGAACGAAGAGACGTTGGGCGCCATTCTGCCTTCTGTATACTTGGCTAGAGAAGCAATCGCACAGTCCAAAGGACCGTTGCCAGGATGGGATATAAAAATCGAATTTCGGGATGGAAACTGTTCATCTACCGATGGTCCATTGGCAGCATTTGAATTACATACTTACAGCGGTGAGTGAGATTTTCTCTAAATTTTTCAATTAATTAATTGAAACCTACTTATTCAATCACACCGCTTATTTACATATTAGTTCATTTATTATAAAGTACATGTTTCAAATATTGAGTTAAGATAGTCATTATTTCAATGAAAACATGAGTGGAAGATATGCACTTAGCTACAAACTTTTTTATTCGTTTAAAAATAAATGTATGAATATCAATTTTGAATATGGTTTTATTATTTTTCAACATTACAATGTTTTAATTTATTCGGTATAAGAACATTACGTTATAATTCTTAAAAATAAGAAGTTATATACGTATTTATAAATATATATTTGTAAGGTGTTCAATAAGTTTTAACAATCTTGATTACTGTATGGTCTGAAGGTATATTTAAATATATGCATTATACATGGAGCAGTAGTAGATAACACTACTGTACATTTATAATGTAAAATATTTAATAACCTAATTAATTATATCATAATATCGTTTATCAGTTCCAAATGACTAATGATCGTTTCCAAACATATTGAACACTATGTATATATCGGTAAATAGATCAAATTATTAATAAATAATTTAGTGATTTTTTACTAATGATTAGTTCTTATTAACTGTTTTTTTTTAAAAATATATTCTGATGCCCAACATGGCTGCAGAAAAAGCAACTTAACTATGACAAATTAAACTATATGCAAAGAATCTATAATATTGATTCGTTCATTAATAAATATCAAACTGATTTAATATGATCTAAATTTATTATTTTTATTTAAACTATTAAATAATCATATAGATTGTTCTTAAATATTAGAGAAAATAAATTTTAAATGTATTTAAAATCTATCTTTGAGAAAAACAAATCTGTTCTATTTAAATAATATATTGAACAATTATACTAAATACTCATCAGAAAATTTTCTTACGGACGTAGAAAACTTCCTTAAAATTGTCTTATTTATTTTAAATAACATTAATAATTTTAAAAATACTTTCATTTTCAAAAATTAATAACATTCAAATAGTATGCTTAAAACCGTCACATAGATACTAGCCACTTTATTATGTTATAATTAAATTATGTTAAAGAACATTCATATTTATTGTCAAATTATATTTTTATATTATTAAAGTGTAATTTTTACTTGTATTAAAATGTAATCACATTCTATTCTGTTTTAATTCGAATTCGTTTACCGTTTTTATTTTAAGTTTACTTTCTTCTTGTATGAACCTTAAACAGAAAATGAACATATTATGAACTATGTATATTAATATCATAACCGTAACTATAATTACTATTATTATTAACTATGTTATCTTATAATTAAATTATATATTGGACTTTATCCGTAAATAAATAAATAATAAGAGAAAACTAACTAAATAGCGGCAAAGTAACATTAAAAAGATATATTTATGTAAAAATTAAAAAAAAAAAAACTCTAAAAAGAACTTATATAATTAATATATATTATATAATAATATAACACATCGTTGGTGGAAATCGATTAAAAGTTATTATTATTTTTAAATAACCATGACTGGATCTTACGGATTTTTAATGCTTAAACAGAAATTATATTTTAAAATAATTGACTGTTGTCAATACTTGACAGTAGTATATCATTAAAATATACAGCTAGAGGTTTTTAAATAATTATATCTGGTTCAATAAATAAGTAAATATTTTAATTTTCATCTGCAAACGCACAATAAAAATAAATTTTGCTATGGTAACATTATAATTATAAATATATAATACAATTATATACAATTTTGTCATACATGACATATTAATTAATTAATCAGTAAGATTCTCTTTTTGAACAAATAGGTAGATACAGGTTCTTTATTCGGTAATATTAAGTGTTTTTTGAAAGGAAACATCAATAATGTTGTACTTTCAATAGGTTTGTTATATAATATTAATATTATTATTCTGGTAGACAAATCACTGACAAAATATCTCTGGAACTAAAAAACATTTTGATTTTATAAATTATTAAATGAATACATAGTACTTAGGTTGTTTTTGTTCGACTGGGGGGGGGGGGGGTTCAAAATACATTAAGTTTTTGGCTGTGCATGCAGAAAAATTAAACTTTTTTGTTGTTTAACGAAATCGCGATCATTAATCTTGTCAAAAAATATTTTTTTGCTTTAGTTAATATACTCATTGATTTTATACCATTAATTTCTATTTTTAAACAATCATGATACATTATGTGTTAAAAAAAAAATAAAATAAATAATAATAAATTAATAATTGTTCTGGCGAGTATTGTAGACTAATATAATTACGAGTATATGCATAAAGTACAAAACTATTTATTGTCTCTCAGAAACGTTATTTTATTTTAATTTTTGGTTGATTTATCAATCATTATCTTGAAGCGTCCACTAATTTGAATTAAGTTAAATCTTATATGTCATATAATATAATTGTCTTTGAGTTTGAATATTTTGCAATTTTATATCAATTAGTGTATTTTATTTTAAATTTTGGGTATAATATTCATATATTATTTTTTTTTTTGTGTTGAATTATAAAAAATAAGTCTTGAAAAATGAATTTTGAAATATTTTTACTTAGCAGAACCATAAGTTGTGTTTATTATTTATGAAATGTTCACGAACAATTGTTTATATTGTCGTAATATTACGTGATTTTACTGAAATTTAATTATTCAATCATTTATTTGATCTTTCGTGTATATTATGGAATTTATCTGTTTGTAATTTTTTAGTTGTATCGCATGTCATGATATTTGTCTATTAGTATAACTATTATTTAACTGATATTATGTTATAATAAAATTTGATCCCTGCTGAATGTAAAATAAATAAATGAAATAACTATTATTGTGTTTATTTTAAAAATGTTGTAGTGATCGCAATATTTTTAATTCTTTATTTACCCATCAAAAGGAAAATATTTAGTTTTTAATGCTAATCACCTAAACCTATTTTTAATCCCTATGCTGAAAATTAGACGTAACTGTGTTGCATTATGTTCATATTGGATAGATTATAAACAATTTTAATTTTCTTTGAAATAATGAGATACCAGTTTAAGCTTATTAATTAATGGTATATTATCTACTTATAAATCAAAAACTTCAGTATTTTGGGATGGTATCGTGGTGTATATTTTCACCGTCAAACGTGGAATAATAAAGTAAATTATTCTGATACATAATCTCTGATATCAAATGTATTTATTTTCTATGTACATAATTATTTTAATTATATATATATATATATATATATATATATATATATATATATATATTAAAATCTTAAGGTTCAATGTTATAGGTGGTCTTAAAGAAAATTAATTGAAAGTGATATTTTTGAGTCATATTATATAATACGTTTAATTATCAATTAATAAAAACCTAAGATAGAATTCTATATATGTTATAACTTATAATAATTATTATTTTGTTTTTAAAAAAAGTGAAAAGTATATTATGGTTTAAATCTCTAATATTTAAATTAAATAAAGAAAAAGCACTATAAACCTCATACGCAAGTATATCATGAAGCTTTTCTTACAAAAGTGATTAAATAAAAAATAAAAAATTAAAAAGAGAAGTAGGTATTTTCTACTATCGTTGAGTTAATTAAATTGAGTAAACCCCAGTGGAATTAAAGAATATTTAACAAAATGATTTCATAATCTCTAATTTTGAGAACAAGATATACCTTTCAAATAAATACAAACTACGTCCTTTAGCTTAATTAGGAAGGACCAGGTAATCATGCTTTGAGTTTCTACATTTCTAATCATAACAATGGATGATAGTGTTTTAGGTTAAATGTACTCTATTTCTACCATTGGGAATTAAAAAGTCCGAACTTTTCGCTCTTAAAGCTTATTTGGAAATTTACTATATTATATATATGTGTATATGTGTATTGGGTTTGGTCCATGTAATTTCATGTTCTATTATTTGACAACAATGAATGATTACTTTTTTGTTTAGGATTATCGTTAATTTCTTATTATAATCATCTGAAACCACATTATCCACACATTTATATTTATTTGTTTATCTATTTAAACATCGTGTAATACTATACTAACAATAATAGTTATTGATAAATGTTATAGACTCATAAATAAATTAAATTAAAACTCATTAAGTGGTTTAGAAGTACTTATAAAATAGAATTAAGTATAGATTGATTAATAGATTTTTAATTTATAAAAGTCTTAAAATAGATTTTTAATATCTTCATTATTGTATACAAAAACTCTAGGTGATAATATTTGAATTAAATGTACCTAAGATAAAACAAGTCTTTGTTTTAATTTATTGATTTTATTTTATGATTGTCATCATTTTTAAAAATACTTAAAAAAATTTAGAGGTTACTTTCTAGCGGAAAATTGCATCTAGTTGATACTTGGTAAAATACTTCAAGTAATTATCAAAATAATCGAGTAAAACAAAAAAAAAAAATAAAAAAAATAGGCATTTTTAAGTTAGAGTAAATTTTTGTTTTGTTTTGTTTTTTTTTTATTGAAATAATGTAGATATTTTAATTTTTTTTTAAATATTTAAGTTACCGTAAACAATTACTACAATATACCATAGCCAGTGGTCTTTCTGAATTGTTTTATTTGAAGACGAAATATACAATACATATGTATTATATAGCATACTAATCGCTAGGAAGAAATAATTTGATCGTTACAATAATAATTATTACATTTAAAAAACCTGATATTAATGTGTTTTATATTATTTCACAATAGAAAAGACTATAGCGATTGATTTAGTCTTATTATAATAATATATATTATTTCTTTTACAATTTTCTCTAACATTATACACTTAGCATTTACATAATGTTTTGATAATTATCATGATTTTATAGCTTAAACTAAGTATCTACCTTATACTTCTGAAATCTAGATATATTTTACATATTGCATTAACTTAGTTTTATTTAAGTTAACTTTAATTCAACTATATTTAATTACATTTGAC